ATCCCTTAGCCCGGTCAAGGTGGTACATAAAATTCCCCATCACCGGCCCACATCAGCTTCCATGGCCCCATCAGCCCTAACTCCGAAGACTGTGCATAAGAGCAAGCTCTCAAAGGACTCTCAGGAACCACCTCCCGGGGTAGAAGCTTCTTAAAGTTCTGGCCACTTTGGGGCTGTACTTAGACTCCAGACTAAAAAAAAAAAGCAATCGGAACAGGTGAAAAATTGGTTTGATGTCCTTTTTTTTAAAAAAAAAAAACCGAAACAGGTAAAAAACATTTAGGATAACAAAATCAGGAGGGGAGTGTCTCCTCCCCACCCTTGATAGTGGTTATCCTGGTTGGCCTGTCGAGCTTCTGGCAGCTCAGTAGAGGCTGGGACAGCAGTTTCTAAGACCCCCTCCAGCAAATGCACCGCACGTCTGTGATGCTGTGGTGTGTTTATCAGCTTACACTGCTTGGTGCTCCAAACACCTGCTCCCTGATGCTCAGGACTCTGTGGGGGCTTTCTGAGGCAGCACAGGGTATCTTTGTGTTCACTATAGCTTTAGGCAAAGAGAATGTTTTTTACTGAGCCTGTGTGCAGACAGTTAGTCATATAAGTGTAGTAGGTAAAGAACTCAGTGCTAACTAGATTACTGGGTCCACCCAGGTGCCCTGCATGGTTTGCTGTATCTGTCTGTCCATCTATCCTTCTTTCTCATATACTTACATAGTATTTACTGTGTGCCTAGAACTTTGCAAAGCCTTTGTTCATCCTATAGAGAGAGTATTGTGCTGATTTCACAGGTGAAGAAACTGAGATAAAGATAAAGAAGAAATTGCTTGCCCAAATCATACAGTCAGGAAGTGGCAGAGTCTCAGTTTGAACCTCCAGGGCCTGCATTTATAACTCCCTTACTGTACTGCCCCTCACCATGAGCCTTGGGTTTAGAGAGGCTTCTCTCTGCCCTCTGCATGGGGCCATACCCCTGCTTCTGGGCTCTAGTCTTTGACCTGGACATCTGGGCAACCCAGCAGATCAGTAGAAGGCAGCAGGTTCTAGGAGGGAGGGCCATGGGCTGAGTAGGCTATTAGGAGACCTTCCCATAGGGAATGTTGGTATGCTGGGATCTCCAAGCATGGAAATGAAAACAAACCTAGGGACAGTCAAAGACATTGACTACCTCTCTGTCTGTAACACTGAGTGGTCCTGCAGACAGAGCTGAGACCACCTGCTTGTGGCTCATGGGGGCCAGGTTGCTCCCTAAGTGGCCTCAGTGGCCAGTAGGCTGTGAAGTAGGATTTGGAGGTGCCCTTAGCAGGCAGACCACCTTGCTTAGGAGAAATGCACTAAACAGGAACCAGATAGCAGGGAAAATTGGGCCATGTTCTTGTCCAAGAGCAAATGTCCATTGCAGGGAAGTAGTTTCTGTAGACTCCATAGGACAGTTGCCCCCTGCCTGGAATGTTTTCTCCAGACTTGTATCAGTCCACCAGGGGCCTAGATTCTTCATCTGGCAATAGTGTCCTGAGAAATAAATAACCTCATTTTTGTGAAAAACATTAAAACTTTTTTTCTTTTTATATAAAGAAAAAAGAACAGGTCAATTTAAGGAAAGGCATATGTGGAACAGATATTTGGCAGAATTGTGATACTCATATTCACTTATCCATTTAATATGTACTCATCAAATATTTATTGTGTGCTCACTGTGTACTGGGCAGTGCTGTGCATGGTTTTCTACAATAGAGGCACAGCCCCAACCCTCATGCAGCTCATGTTCTCAGAGGAGGAGGCAGACAATTTATAGATAAGTGAGCATATTTGATAATAATGGATATGATGAAGGCGAATGCTGCAGGAGAAATAGAACAGAGTCTGATGTTAACATGTGAGCAAAGATACACATGAAATGAGGTAGCAAGCCTTGCAGATAACATGGGTAAAGAGGAAAGTGCATGTGCAAAGGTCCTGAGGCAGCAGCATGCTTGGCCTGCCTGAGGAAGTGCTGTTGGGCAAAAGCATATTTGGTAAACCCTGGACTAGATGTTGTCCACTGTCTGTCTCCAACATCACTGTCAGATCACCTTGTAATGGTGATCTGAATAGCATATTGTCATCTTACGATTTAAGGTGTGGCTAACCAAGAACCTGGCTGCTGAGGGGGCCTGAATTTGCCTGAGCAGGCAGTGAATCTGCTGATAGAACCTTGCATTTAGGATGTTCCTGAAGATGGAAAAATAGGAGGCCATCCAGGCCCTTTGCCTCATTTATTTGCCTCCTAGGACGAGAGTCATTATTCATCAATTATTTGCTGAGTGACTTCAAAGTGCCCCTTGGGAGGCTGGATATAGGGACAAAAGCAAGTCAGATACAGTTCCCACCTGCCCAGAGCCCCAGTGTGCTGGAGCAGGGGACCTGCCATGGGGCTGGTACCCAGGCATGCATGTGCATGTGTGCATGTGCACGGGTGCACACAGGGACCTGGGGGTAGGGAAGAGACTCACCTGTCACTGAGGGAACCCTGGCAGGGTCAGTTAGGACCTCTGAGCAGCTGCCTAAGTGGCTATGGAAGAGTGTGGAGCAGAGAGGAGGGGCAGGGCCAGCTGCATAATTGGTGGGGCCCAGCAAGAAATATCTCTCATCCAGAAAGCAGGGGGAGGGTGCCCTTGAAGTCACATGGGATGCTTTCTCCTTTTTTTGCAATCTCTCTCACAACAATATGTCATGGTGCTTTTCTTTTTCTTTTTTTCTTTTTGAGACAGTCTCATTTTATCTCCCTCAGTAGAGTGCTGTGGCATCATCATAGCTCACAACAACCTCAAAATTCTGGGCTCTAATGATCCCCGTGTCCCAGCCTTCTGAGTAGCTGGGACTATAGGGCCCACCACCATGCCCAACTAGTTTTGAGATGGGGATCTCATTCTTGCTCAAGCTGGTCTTGAACTCCTGAAATCAAGTAATCCACCCGCCTTGGCCTCCCAGAATGCTAGGATTGCAGGCATGAACCACCATGCCCGGCTATCATGGTGCTTTTCAATTGCTATTTCATGTTGTTCTGAGTAAGGAAAAATCAAAACTTAGTGTGTATTTTACCATTCATCCTTACGTTGTACATTGCCAATTTTTTTTTTTTT